GCACTAACAACACGCGGTGCCCCAAGATCGAATCCCGTACAAAGAATATTTTTTTCTTCTTTTTTGGTTTTGTTTTCTTTTTCTATTTTATAATGTCTACCAAAATGAAAAGGACACCGCCTCCAACACCGAAAAAGGCTACTGATTGCCATAAAGACCAACAGTCCTACGTGACAAACAGGCCTAACAAGAGACAGGCTATGTCAACGTCTCCCAATTCGCAATCAGGTTCCATGCCAGTCACACAACAAGATGTACGAGAAATAGTGATGCCAGGCACACAACAAGATGTGCGAGAAATAGTGACGCCAGTCACACAACAAGATGTGCGTGACATAGTGAATGAGGTTGTGCAAACACAGATGAACCTTTTTATGATACAGATAGGCGAAACTATTTCACAAACTATTTCAAACACTATCAATAAGGAATTATCTTCATTAAAACAGGAAATTGAATCTGTCAAAAATTCAATGGATTTTATCAATGAAAAGTTCGAAAACGCTAGCAAGAATCATGAAACTCTAACGAAGGAGGTGGAAAATGTCAAGATGGAAAATAGTGCGTTGCAGAGCAGTGTAACGGAACTGACAAATAAAATTAACTTCCTGGAACAAAATGCGCGAATGAACAACGTGGAGGTGCAGTGTGTACCAGAAAACAGGAATGAAAATCTGAACTCCATTATAATGCAGATTGCAAGAACAGTGGGTTGCAATCTTACAGAGGAAAATGTACTTCACTGTGCTCGCGTTGCTAAAGGCGACAAGTCGAACACCCGTCCCAGATCCATAATTGTTAAACTGTCATCCACTAGGATACGCGACGACCTTCTAGCAGCTAATATTAAGTTCAATAAATTAAATAAATCCAATAAATTGAACTCCGGACACATTGGTATTGCAGGCGAAAAACACCCAATTTACATCATGGAACACTTATCACCCGCAAACAAATCTTTACATGCGGCGGCCAGGATTAAAGGCAAAGAAATAGGATATAAGCACGTGTGGGTCCGGAATGGCAGAATTTTTATGCGCAAGACTGATGATTCTGCATACGTCTTGATCAGAGACAAAGACTATCTCAATAAGTTAAAGTAGTGTTTTAGCTTTTTTATCAACTCCAATACATATTTTTTTATTATTTTTGCATGTTACTTTTATACTACTATTTTATAAAATTCGATAATTTAAAAATATATTACCAGAATGTGCGCGGCTTGCGCACCAAAACTCATAATTTTTATTGTAATCTCGCTTGTTCAAATTACGATATTATAATTTTAACAGAAACATGGTTAAATGAAAACATATCAAACTCTGAACTGTTTGATGGGAGATACATTGTTCATAGACGTGACAGAGGAATTTCACATTTTAATTCTAAAAACATAGGCGGAGGAGTTCTCATAGCTGTCTCAAGTAAACTTGGAGCTGTTCGAATGTACAACTGGGAGAGCGAGTGCGAGGATCTATGGGTTATGGTTACCATTCCAAACACTAAACCTTTAATAACAATTACGTTCTGTGCAGTTTATCTCCCACCGCCAGTGTTAAGGTCTTCACTTGATCATTTTGTAAAGAACTGTAACAATGTATTCGAGGAAAACAACTCTCATTTGTGTATGATAGGCGATTTTAATTTAGGTGATATTAGTTGGGCTCGTGGTGACATGGAACAGAACTCACAACTGTCTCCCCTAAAACAATATTTTATGGACTTTTGGACAGTAAATAACCTAACTCAATTAAATTTCATAAGTAATTCCATGAATAGGTTACTCGATCTTGTATTTACTGACATGTCTTCTTGCATTGTTACCAGTGCAAGTGATATTCTGAGCACTCCTGTGGACCCCTTGCATCCACCAATTACAATAGATATACCTGTGGAAGGTGAGTGTTATCTAAAATCAAATATCACCCAAAAACATAACTTTTACAAAGCTAACTATAATGATATAAATAAGCACCTATCGCAAATTGACTGGAATAGCTTATTGCCGGACGAGGCTGATGTAAATACAATGACAGATACATTCTATAGGATCATTGCCGAGACAATAACAAAGTATGTTCCCCTGTATGGACCCCGACATAGAAGGTTCCCTCCATGGTTCAGCTCAGATTTAGTAGGTAGACTGCGGGAGAAGGAAAAATACAGGAGAAAATACAAACAATACCGGAATCCCCTTGACCAAATTTCATATCGTCTGTTATCTGAGCGGTGTAACTTACTGATCAAGGCCTGTTATAGATCTTACCTGGGCAATGTTGAGCGTAGTATCAAAACTAACCCTAAATATTTTTGGAATTTTGTAAAAACAAAACGTGGCGGTACTAGTAACTATCCTTCTTCCTTGTCTAACGGCATCGTTTCCACTTCCGATGGAGTCGAAGTTTGTAATCTGTTTGCTAATCATTTCGCATCGGTGTACGACTCTCCTAACACAGGTCTTGATTGTAGACTGTCCATAAATTTTACGATTCCATATTCATATACCAGTGATTGTTTCTCTCATTTAAACCTTAATTGTACCAAAATAGAGGATAAGCTTAAGTGCTTAGACGTCAGCAAAGGAGCGGGAGCCGATGGCTTACCTCCAATATTTATAAGAAATTGTGCGTCTAGCTTGGTTGAGCCATTGAGTTGGATCTTTAACAAATCTTTAGATACAGGTGTTTTTCCTAGAGCCTGGAAGTTGGCTAAAGTTGTTCCTGTCTTTAAATCCGATAGTAATAATTTGGTTCAAAATTATAGACCTATATCCATTCTTCCAACCTTAGGAAAGGTTTTTGAGAGCTTAGTCTGTCCATATCTACAACAATACTTTTCTGGATTTGTATGTGATAGTCAGCATGGTTTCCTGAAGGGTAGGTCAACATGTACCAACTTAATGAGCTTTGCTGAGGATCTTGTAGAGTCCATTGACGCTAGCAAACAAATAGATGTGGTGTACACGGACTTCAGCAAGGCTTTTGATCGGGTGCCACACAAAATTTTGATCGAAAAGCTTTCTTCTTATGGCTTTTTTGGATCTATGTTGGGCTGGTTGGACTCGTACCTTAAGGAACGACAATTTTACGTAGTTGTCAATGGTTTCACGTCTAGCACTCATTATATTACGTCCGGTGTCCCACAGGGATCGCACTTGGGCCCTGTTTTGTTCAACATGTTTGTCAATGATCTGCCGTCCTGCATTCGCTACTCTATCCCATACTTATTCGCTGATGACCTCAAACTTTCAAAAGTTGTTGACTCATTGGATGACGCGGTTATGCTCCAAGAGGACCTCGATTCCCTTAAGAAATGGTGTGACATTAATGGAATGGATCTCAATGTAAAAAAATGTTCGCTTATGAAATTTACACGAAAAAATAATATCATTCCAACCAAATACTCTATTAATGGGATTGATTTGCAAGAGTTAAAGGTGGTAAGAGACCTAGGTGTTCTAATGGACAGTAAGTTCACTTTTGTTCCTCATATAAATAATATTATTAAAAAGTCATCAAAGGCACTAGGGTTTTTAATAAGAAACAGCAAAGAGTTTGGAATCTCAACCAAAATTCTCCTCTATAACTCACTCGTTCGATCCACCTTGGAGTATGCAAGTACTGTCTGGAGACCACATTACACTAATCACTCATTACGGATAGAAAGAGTTCAAAAAAAGTTTACCAGACATCTTGCTTTCGTCAGGGGTATTGCGAGGAGGGCCTTAGCCTACGAGGATAGATTATATCTTTTTAGTATGAATAGCCTGGATAAGCGTAGGGACCTTTCTGACCTAATCATTTTATATAAGATTTTAAACAATAAGTTGTGTTGCTCGAAACTTGTGGAGAGAATTCGTTTTCGTGTTCCTCTGCGCTTGCCACGCCACCCAATAGACACATTTATTACTCCGTTTCGAAGAACTGTCTTAGGTGCAAACTCACCAGTCCCGAGAGTGCTTAGGTTGTATAATAAATATAATCGCTCCACAAACATTGATCTCTTTTCCATGTCATTACGTAAATTTCGAGAAACATTATTGGATGGCTAATGATTGTACAATGTTAATACCTACTTTTATTGCTTAGCTAATTTAAAAAAAAAAACATTACATAGATTTTTATTATATTATATCTTTTTATAACCAAAGAATAGTAATTATGGTATATTTTGGTATTTATTATTAAAGTCTTCTTAATGTAAACGCAAGTTGTGTTCGCCAGTAAGTGGCTTTACATTTAGTAAGATACTGTAGAATAAGTTTAAAATTATCTAATATGTATTAGTGTATAAGCTGTTGGTGAACCTTTTTTATAAAATAAAATAAAATAAAATAAAAATAAACTTGCAGTGCAAGTGTGGTTTTGTTCCCCAGTCAACGAAGCACATGATGTCGTGCTCTGCGTGCCCAAACAACTGCACGCAGGAAGATTTAATGAAGGCTACTGACAACGCCATTCTTGTGGCAGAGTTTTGGGCAGACGCTGTGTAGGTTTGTTGTCGACACGACAAGAAGAAGAAATTGATTCCATTATAGTGAGTAGGTCTCGTCACTGCCTGGTGCCTATGAGGAGGGCTGTACTCATTCTATACCAGAGAAATGGCAGAAAAAACACGTTTCTTTCATTTTGATTTTATCGTTACAGAGGAGCACACCTGTAAAAATATATCTAGATGTTATTACGGTTCATGAGACAAGCAAGGAGTAGTCTATAAGATTTCTACTGACATTTGGGAACCCTAAAAATTAATGGCTGAAAATTAGACTGGATTAGAAGTTTTACTCAATATCGCGATAATATTTTGAACTGACCTACTATAAAAATAAACAAAACAATGATAATGATTGTGTAATTTATCACTTTAACTTTAAACCCTAATCACACGTGTTGATTATTTAAAAATCAAATCATAAACAATAATATCTTTATTGTTTTATCTATGAATTGGTGTGAAGGACCAACATTATCTGTAGAACGATTATTATATTGACCCAATATCTTTTGTAACACCTGGTATAAATGCGGTAACTTTTACCCAAATTGGTTAGTCTAACCCCAATATGTTTCAATTGTTGTGCAGTGTTGCCTTTTTCGGGTTAATAGGTAAGTGTCATTTTTAGTCATCATCATCATCATTTCAGCCTTAGGACGTACACTGCTGTACATAGGACTCCCTCAATGATTTCCACAAAGGCCAGCTAGTGGCGGCCTGCATCCAGCGCCTTCCTAACTTTATGAGGTCGTCGGTCCACCTTGTGGGTGGACGTCCTACGCTGCGTTTTCCGGTACGTGGCCCTTGCTGCCCCATAGGTCGTCAGTTTTGCGTAGGTATATGCCCTGCCAACTACCTCTTCAGCTTGCTAATCCGTTGGCCTGTCAGCGACTTAAGTTCGTGATGTTTAGTACTAAAAGAAAAAAAAATTATCCGTTAGTGAAGTTAACGAAACTTAGAAGCAGTTAAATATTCGATATTTTTTTCAAAACATAACTATTTAATTTACAAAATTTTCAGTCGAATTTAGTTTTATTGTTCTGAGGAACTCTTTTTAGAACCGGTCGTTGTAGAAATAAATCCAGTCCAGCAGTGAACGTCATTTGGCTGAAACGTAGTTAGTACTAACGAACCTATGTTGTCAACTACCATTTCTTTTTTAATCTAATTCTTCTGATTAATTTCGTTGCGGGTCCAATGAAAGTTTAACTTTCCCCCGGGACAAACTTGACCTTCATTGGTTGGGTTTTTATGGCGGTCAAGCTGTAGATCCTGGCTACACAGGAGTTGCAGTGGTGGGAACGAAAGGTGGGAATAGTCCCGTATTTTTTTTATTGCCATTTGTTTTTCTTTTGTCTCCAGTCGCCTCCCCAACTTCAAGGGTCCACGATGGCCGTATAGTTGGGGGCGAAGACATCGACATCACCGAAGCTCCTTACCAGGTGTCACTGCTGTATAGAGGGCGCCACTCGTGTGGGGGCACCCTGGTGGCCAATGACATTGTTTTGACTGCCGCGCACTGCATTATGGGGTAAGTTTTCTTTTTAAAGTAGCTATTTTCGGCAAGTGAGACGCAGGCCGCTACCAACCGGGCAACATAAAAAGCATTGGGGGAGGCCTATGTACAGCAGTGGACGTCCTGTGATGCCCTATGATGATGATGAGACCGAGGAGAGTTGTGACAGAGGACAGTTGTGACATTGTCGATCTTTGGGAACCTATTAACTATCAGTTAGCTCGCAACAGCGCGTACTTATTTATTAGCTCGAGACTGGAACCAAAAAACGCTCACTACTTCGAGCTCGCTAGTAATTAAGTTCCAAAAAATCGAAAATGTCACAACAACTCCCTTATGGCTCCGGCAGACTAGAGTAGGACCACTCCCGATCTTCCTATGGATGTGGTATAGCGCGATCAAGGGACATGAGACATCAACTCACACTATCTGCCAGGGTAAATGGCGGCACCTTCTTTTCCTCTGGTAAACTAAAAATGATCCTGCTATTGCAGTAAAGACTATATGGCATGATGATGACGATAAGGTATTTTCACCTCAAAGATTAATTCACGATCTTGATTTCAACAGAGTCGACTTTGATAAACAGAATAGCCACCTATTTAAAATTCATGATAAAACCATAATGACTATACATTAACGTTATCAGTGTCCATCGAGTTAATTAGACAGTATTATATTATCTGTGATTAGACATAATATAAGGGAGAGTCCGGTAATTTGGACCAGTTTTTTTCAATCCCATTTTACACATAGTTTTCTTTTGTTTTTGCTAATGTTCATGGTATATAATTAAAGATAAATTATTCAATGTACTATTTCATAGGTATTAATCAACACAATTATTGTATATTTAGCACAAATCAACAAAATACGAGTTCAGAGCTTCGGTCCAATTTAGCCAACCGGTTCGATAATTTGTACCACAGGGTTACTAAATTGGATTTTAATAAATTTCAAGCCTATAAAAAACTATGGCAAAACTTTATACGATACATTCTTAACAAATTAGGTAACGAAAAGGAACAGTAGTTAATAACATAGACAATCGATATTGTTTTACACGTTATCACGATTTTGAGTAAAAGTTTTGTAATTCCAATTATCATAACGCACACTTGTACCTTATCTACTTTACCAGTCTTTTGCTTTCATTTATTGTTAGTCAAACATGACAACGCTATTATAACTTCAAAATATGATTTACTAAAAAAAAATTCAAAATCCTTTGGTAAAGTTCCATACAACTTGATGTGGTACAATTTAGCCGACTAGGTGATAGTGCTTTTAAAAAATCGGTAAAAAATATAGCTTATAAATACCGAAAAATGTTTCAAATAATTGTAATCCGCACTAATTTACGCTTCTAAATAATATATTAGAAACACCCTGTGACTCAATTTAACAAAATTACAAACTAAACATGCATTGTCAAAAGTTACTTGAAAACAATGAAAAAATACTTTTCAAAATAAAACACACGTGTTCGTTGTCACGGCAAAAACCACATGGCCGATATTAATTGAATTTAGTTGTGTATCGCTGAGTGTTGCAATTACAGACATTCATTAAATACTTTACGAAATATGAGGGTGGTACAATTTACCCGGCGGTACAATATACCGAACTCTCCCCTAATTTCGCAACCACTGATAAGGAATAACATATTATTAACGATGAATTGCTGGAACGTTATTGATAATAAGTTATCACGTTGACGTTTTTATAGAGACAAACAAAAGGCATGCATGAAATTAATGGGTTGGAATGACTGGTCGATTATTTTTAAGTAACAAAAATTTACTTAAATTAAGGATGAGTAAACAATTTTTAGACCCAAATTGTGATGTCTACATTTCTTCAGCTGTACACAATAAAACTGTACCTCAATTTCATTGCAAAAAACTGCTTTTTATCTAAAACTCATTAAAGGTAAATTGCTTTAGTATAATTAAATATTATAGGTCCGATTAATAGTCCGATCGGTACTCGTTTCATAAAGTAACGTGTTTTTGTATTTACTTGTAGTAAATACATAAACACTTAAAAAATATTTAACTTTCAGATTTATTTGAGTAGAGAAAAAAACTACCAAAAATATTCATGGTTTAGTGTGATTCATCAAATCTTTACCATTTCACAATATTGGTTTAGAAAGATTGAAAAGTCAGTTCTGAGTTTTTATTACTATTCGATCATAATCTAAGAACATATTTTATTTGAAGATTTCACTGTGGAAAGTTTGCCTCAAGTCCTAATTTTAAAAACATAAAAATATTCGCTGTTTAATAATAATCAAAACGTAAGCATGAAAACCCGTTTACCTCACTTTTCATCAGTTTTGCGAGCTACCTTCTTTTCCTACACAATGTGAATTTAGTAGCCCAAATCACACCATGCTAATTACACAACAATGTCATCATCAATCATCATCATTCAGGTCCTATAGTCTCAACTGCAAGAGCAGGGTCTCATTCAAATGGTTTGGAGTCAGGCTTTGGAGAATTTGCGTTAAACTCCCCTGATATTCGCATATTTTCTCCCATAGTCACATAGACACTGTTGGAACCACTCGGTACAACGTAATCCCATCAAAAACAATACTTGTCAAAAAAACCAAGTCTCGCAACTCAGTTGTTCTACGGTAAAAAGTTGTGAGATCCATGTAATACCAAGTCCAGGCCAGGAAATATTTAACGTTTGACATAAATTATTGACTTGGCCATCGCACTAAATAATTTAATTTACACGTGTTTTCATGCGATGGCCAAGTCAATATATTTATGTAAAACGTTAAAGATTTCCTGGCCTGGACCAGTGTGCTTACCATGAGTTTACGTTAGGTGTGCTCGCTAGCGACTGCGTAAAAAAATGACATTTAAATGTATGACATATTGTGCAGCGCCCCTAGCGGCTACTTTCAAGAAATAAAATCTTCATAGAGTTTTTTGACGTTCTCGCTAGCGAGCACACCTAACGTAAACTCATGGTAAGCACACTGGCCTNCGCACCCCTGTCAAAACAGCCTTAGGGTGGGTTGCACCATCTTAGATTAACTTTGACAAACGTCTAAAATCTGTCAAACTCCATACAAAAAACACCGGTTATCGTCATAGTTACGGTCAAAGTTAGGTGGTGCAATTCACCCTATTGGTTTTCGACCAAATCGAAGCTTATCACCGGGGTTTTGTTAATCGCAATGAAAATGGCGGGTGTTTCGATCCGATTCGATTTTGATTGAGTCTTAAATGCATGTTGGCTAAGCCTTTGTATGGGAAATGTCAATCCAGTCTTTCGATTATCGATAGGTAGGGCTTTGTGATTCGATTTTTTGCCGTTTGGCTAAGCCTTTTTTGTTATCGACCACTTTTGCGATTTGTTTATTTGTTTGCGACTGGTTTGCGATTTTAAAGTGCGTTTTGACTAGACCCACTTGATTTAAGTTTATCCTTATTATGTTGCCCTATTAGATAGGTATGAAATAAACAAACATTAGGAAAAATGACCACAAAATATAATATTTTACTCACTGTTGGGTTGCTTCTTAACCTCTTATCTTAAAGCATCTAAAAATCTAAATGATGACAAACAAGGAAATAAATTCGCCGACCACTAAGAGTAGGCGCACACCGTTGATTTTTCGTCAGCCGATAGTTTAGTCGGGCATTTGATCAGTATGGGCATGTACGGCAGGTACTCATTCTGTGCTTAGGGTGGGTTGCACCATCTTAGTTTAACTTTGACAAACGTCTAAAATCTGTCAAACTCCATATAAAAAACACCGGTTATCGTCATAGTTACGGTCAAAGTTAGGTGGTGCAACTCACCCTTATTGTTTTTATTGGTTTTCGATCGAATCGAAGCTTATCACCGGGGTTTTGGTAATCGCAACGAAAATTGCGGGTGTCGATTCGATTCGATTTTGATAGTCTTAAATGCATGTTGGCTAAGCTTTTGTATGGGAAATTTCAATCCAGTCTTTCGATTATCGATAGGTAGGGCTTTGCGAATCGATTTTTTGCCGTTTGGCTAAGCCTTTTTTGTTATGGTTTGCGATGGGTTTGCGATTTTAAAGTTCATTTTGACTAGACTTCGTACGCGTGAAAATCATTTTTGCTCTGCACTCGTAGCGTAGCGTGATGGTATACAGTGTGAGTCACGTTAAAGTGTACATCCCATCAAAAACAATACTTGTCAAAAAAACCAAGTCTCGCAACTCAGTTGTTCTACGGTAAAAAGTTGTGAGATCCATGTAATACCAAGTCCAGGCCAGGAAATCTTTAATTAACGTTTTACATAAATTATTGACTTGGCCATCGCACTAAATAATTTAATTTACACGTGTTTTCATGCGATGGCCAAGTCAATATATTATAGTTTTTTTGACAAGTATTGTTTTTGATGGGATCTCATTTCTTTTTGTATTTTGTAGACAGCAGTTATGTATCTAGAAAACTGGACCGAAATTGAAAAATTTTACTCGACTTGGCGGTTGCACTACCGTGCCCCCAAATATTTTAGTTTTTCCTTGATTCATACACCAAACACTACTTATATTCCAAACTAGCTGACCCGGCGAACTTTGTTCCGCCTTAATGGCAATAAATAATCAGACTTATTTTTATTTCGAACGGGATAAAATGTATCCTATGTCCTTCTCCTGGCTCTAAACTACCTCCCTGACAATTTTCAGCTAAATCGGTTCAGCCGTTCTTGAGTTATAAGCGAAGTAACTAACACGACTTTCTTTTATATATATAGATTTGAAGCTTCTAGGTCTGCTAGAAGTGCCTTAGAGTTTTGATGATCGGTGAGTCAGTGAGTCAGTCAGTGAGTGACAAAATTAAGTAACTTTAACCCGTTATAATTCTTAAACTACTGGTTTAAATTGAATGAAATTTTAAATATACCGTGTCTTTACAATGCCTGCATAGCTAATGAAAATTCAGCCTTCTAGTTTTATCCACAACGAAGTTACAGGCGGTCGAAAATGGCCTGAATTGCTTCGAGAAAAGGATGGTACGGCCGTGCCGCTGTTTTGCTCGACTTGGTGGGGGCACTGCCGTGCCCCCAGATTTAAATTCACTTACTACTAATTAATTGTTCCAGGTCAGACCCAACCAACTACCAAATCCGCGCCGGCTCATCGTACAGCGAACGTGAAGGTGTGGTTTACCCAGTGGGAGAGATCCTAGCCCACCCAGACTTCAGTTTCTCCAAGATGGACAATGACGTAGCTATCGTATGGCTGTCACAACCAGTGACGTTTAGCGACAGAATTGCTGTGGTGGAGATGGCGAGTCAAGGAGATGAAGTGGAAGATGGAGAATTGACTGAGGTTACCGGCTGGGGGAATATCAGGGTAAGTTTAAATAACGACTTCAACTTGAATTATTTGAACGTTGAATTGGAAATTGTCCGGATGGTAAAAAATCTTAGGTTGAATTTGCTATCATGCTTTTTTATCCACAATTTTTTTCTGGCCTGTATCTCACCTAATAGTCAGTGATAAATCAGGCCTAAAGTAGAAGCGACTTTTACTCGGAATCTAACTGCTTGAACACAACAATGCTGTTAACATTGTTTGTAAGATGTGGTGTCAAAGTAAGACTGATGTCAAGATGTCAGACAACTACGCCGTATCAACCGCTGATGGGATTTATTGAAAGACGTGTATTAGCTGCCGAATGCTTTATTGCACTGATTATAAAAAATGTTAGAACTACCAAAGTCCCAAATGTAGGTCAGGCGCAGCTGGCCAAAGTGCATGAATAAATTACTTAGTAAGAAATATGTGCGAGTTGACTCGTACATTGTTGTTATGGCGACAATCTAAGGTAAGATGGTGGCAGCAAGCCAGGTGGACTTAGAACAAGCCCTATCACCAACAAAACTGAACATAAATATCTGCCCCCACTGGGAATCGAACCCGGAACCTCTGCATCTGCAGCATTTATGCCTTATACATTCAAATAATCAAAGAACATTATAATGAAAAAAATAACATCTGTATAACCAACAAAGAAAAATCCTGCACTAAATTAGGAAAATCCCATCTCCTCAGGCATAATACCCCACAAAAGCGGTTCAAATTAACAAGGCTTTGAATACATAACCGTCATGTCTAATAATGTTTCCGTTATTATATAATTGTGTGACGGAAATGTCTTCATTTCGTACCCTAGTGCGGTCATTGTCGTGGAATGCAGCGGTCTTGGCGCGCTGCCATTTTTAAACGGCGCCTTTTTGGGCTGAATTCGTGGTAACAATTAGACGGTATAGTGAAAACATAAAGAGCAAGACCGTTAAGTTACTATTCCCATCCCTATTCGATTCTATAATTTGATTGCCACTAAATATACAATTAGTAAACGGGACTAGTCCTACCTCGCAATGCTACCGCTACAACTCCTGTGTAGTAGCTAGAATCTACAGCTTAACCACCAATAAAAACCTAAGCAGTGAAGGTAAAGTCTCGGGGAAAGTTAAACTGCCACAGAACATGCAAATAAATTCAGAAGAACTTATGGAAGGTTCGTAGTTAAAGATCAAATCATCTATGAAAGGATTTAGAGCTAAACGTCGATGCAAGCACAAACAAAATGAACAGATAAATCAGGGTATTGAATCTCAAGAGATTGTGTTTAAATGTAAGCATATCCTGATAAATAGGTACAAAATTTGTGTGTGATCAGTACCAGTGTGACTCGATTAGTTTTTTTTTCCCAACGTGTAAAATGGTTACTCGTTTGGGTGTGACTCGTAGGGAACAAGCGGTTTAATTCTTAAAAATGGTCTACTGTAAAGATTGTCAATTATATTTCCTTACCGTGGTAAATAAAAGTTGCTGTCCTTTTTCTTAGCACAATTACACCCCGAGTGGTTTATTGGTGTTGTTGAGAACTGTAATGCTTTCTTGTTATAATTAAGAACTTCAAGTTTTATTCATTGCTAATTTTTTCAGCCTTTAAAAGAAAGGAAACGCTGCCATTGTGCTTGTTGACTTTATGTTTGTCTTTTGGAGTAAAGTTAATTTACCAGCAGATTTAATTAAAATTGACAATTCTATCGTTTAGGGTCATTTTTTGACAAAATATTTAAAGGGTATAAAACAGCTACTTCTTCTTCTTTTCTTTTTGTTCCTCTTCTTCTATCATGATGAAGTACGTCTCAGGTATTAGATTTTGTAAGTCAGTTATCAAGTACCAAGGGGGATAACAGTCCACATGGTATAAAGATCCTAAATATGTTGTATACCTAATTTCAAATCAATCTTTGAAATCCTACCCCTTTATGAAATTACACTTTTTTACAATGCTGCTGAGCAGATTGCGCTTTATCAGTTTTCAAATAGATGTAGTAGCTTAGGAAATGTAAATGAAAGAGACTCTTTAAAAATTTAACCATTCTCTTGCAGGAAGGAGGTGGCATTCCGACGATGCTGCAAAAAGTTTTGGTGCCAAAAGTGAACTCTATGGCGTGCGGTAAAGCGTACGCGCCGATGTATACCATCACGCCGCGAATGCTGTGCGCCGGCGCACCGGGAGGCGGGAAAGATGCTTGCCAGGTGAGATGCAGATGACAGCACATCAACATAAACACTGTGGCACATGTACTAAGTTGTGTGGTCTGCTGTATTTTTTATTTTACTAGTGGTTCTCTTATAGTTCCTCTCAGGTTTGATTTCGAATTATATTAACCTAATTTGCCATGGGTTTCTGTGCTATGGATTTATATGGATCACATAGTCTTCAGTGAAGACTCTTCACAGCGTTCCCCATTAAAAACACTTGAAAGAATAATGATGGACTCCGTATGGTAACTTTCACTCCATTCACGTTTTTTCCACAACATAAAGGAGCAGCTCTGGCAGCGAACTTAAACCTCTTCAATATGGTATAAGGAAAAACATTATTATTATTTCCATATCATAATAATGTCGCAATAATAATTCTAATATTTTCATACAGGGTGACAGCGGCGGTCCTCTTATTCACAACGGCAAACTGACTGGAGTGGTATCCTGGGGCCTCGGCTGTGCCAGACCAGAGTACCCTGGCGTATACGCCAAGGTGGCAGCCTTGAGGAGGTGGATCGACGAACACATCCTGTATTTGAGACTGAAGAACATCATGAGATGGTAGAATTAGATTAGTTTTGTACTTTTATATTGTAATTAAATAATTGAAAAATATTTGTGTTTTGTTTAATGAAATTTTGTCTTTCTATATCCATGGGAATAGTGGAAATATGATACTATTTTCCTCAGTCAGAACTATACGGCTAACAATGATGAAATTTATAAATATTAGATCTTCCCAACCCGTCTGGCTAGCACTAAGACTGCTTAAATGCATTTGTAATATTAGTATGGGTATAACATTTGTCGCATTATAACATTTCATCGTCGCGTCTGTTTGAATATTTGTGAAAATGACTCTATTAAAAATACGGTGTAATTTTATAAACTTCGGAAGGAAAATTTCTTCCAACATTGTTAAAATTCTCAAAAAGTTCAACGCTTAAACCAATTTGTTTATATTTTGAATTCCTTAAAAAAACATAAAATTTACCAAACATTTCCAAGAAATATCGAAATAATTGGAAATGTTTTCTGAAATCAAGAAGTTTGTGGCTTTTGTATGTTATTAAAATTCCATTTTGAGAATTATCAGAACTTAAACTAAGGAACTGCCTACTGCTCTTTCCCAAGCATTATTAATAATCCGCGTCTCTTCAAGGCGAGAGTGAATAGGCACTTACAGGACAGATATTATGTACCATCACTTATCATCAGGAGTGATTGCAGTCAAGTACTTTGTGTAAGTCACAAATCATTGTCGAAAGTACGGGACTATTCCCACCTCTCGTTCCCAGCGCTGCAACTCCTGTGAAGCCAGGATCTACAGCTTAATCGCCATAAAAACCCAACCAATGAAGGTCAAGTTTGTCCCGGGGGAAAGTTAAACTGTCATTGGACCCGCAAAATAATTAATCAGAAGAACATGGAAGGAGTTCGAAATTAAGGTTTGACTTCCCTCCATTGCAATTACTTCACAACACAATAATGGTACATAACCAGTATTTTTCCAGTGTTTCAAATAGGTAGTTTAGGGACTATTATTGTCGAAAGTAGTTAATTCGGTGAAGACACAAGTTTTGCTGCAAAACTAGTGTTCATGGCATGATTATTTAATTAAGTAGTGTAAAAAATACGAATACTGATAACCGTTACCAAAGGACAATGACCAAAAGTGGTCCAAATGTCCACCACTAATGAGACCTATATTATCATATAGTCCATTAAATAGAGATTAACTTTCAGTATGGGACGAAAAAAAAATAAGCTGTCAGTAAAAAGTTATGACTGTTTGAAAAATTGTAGTAGTTTACGCGCTAATCTCAGGAACTACTGGTCCGACTTGAAAAAATATTTTTGTTATGGATAGCCCATTTATCAAGGATGGTTTTAGGTTATATAACATCACCCTACAACCAATTTTCGCATTATTCCAAGTATTCCCATATTGTTGTCTTTCTTCTGACCTTATTTTTTTTTCTTTTAGCGAGAACCTAACACGGCACACTAAGCGACATAACATAATATGCATAGATTAGACCAAAATGTGCAAAGGATAGAATGATATCAAGAACATTTTTCAGATAAAAAGGTGAAAAACATTACTTTTCATTCAGTCATAACTTTTTACTGACAGCATATTTTTGATTGCGGTTTGGTTATAATGAATCAGTATTTAGTAGACTATTTTACTACATAGGTCTCGTTGGTGGTGGACATTTGGACCACACTCCATACATTTTTGGTCATTGTCCTTTATTCCAACTGAACTCTTTACTATCTGAAATACAAGGAACGCTTAAATTCCAATACAATTATGCAGAAACATTCCTACATCAGCCACATTTTATAATTCTTGCTTTTATCAATGCACATACATCTTATTCTCAAGAATTAGTATTGTTTTTATTTAATTTTAAGTAGGTATTTGAAGCCACATTCTACGCAACATGTCAACATTGATCTGTCCACGGTTGAAGGCGGAAATAATAAAAGGAAACCATACAAATGAAAGACTTATAACGTTTACCATTTTTTATTAGACTTCTTTATTAGACGTTTACAATGTTTTTATAACTTTTAAAATCTTCATGGCTTCTTGTCTTATTTCAATTGTTCGTCGATCCATCCTCTAAGGGCAGATACCTTCGCATACACAGCGGGGTAATCTGGTCTAGCGCATCCTATGCCAAAGGAGACCACGCCGGCCAACTTACCATTATGGATGAGAGGACCACCACTGTCACCCTGTAAATTTAATGGATAGTAGTAACCAATGTTGCACAGCGTGCTATGGAGAGGGCTATGCTCGGTGTTTCTTTACGAGATCTAATTAGAAATAAGGAGATCCGTCAGCGTGGGACTTCCACCCAAAAGGTGGACCGACGACATCATAACGGTAGCAGGGAAGTGCTGGACGCAGGCCGCTACCAATCGATCAACATGGAAAGCTTGCAATGTTTACTAATATTATAGCATTTAATATTAAGCACAATACTAAATTCGCACTAGGTGGACGTCATTTGGCTGAAACGAACAATCTAAATGTGCTTAGTCATTTCACACAGCGCCATCTAGATAAATGGATAATGGTTAGTCATCACTTTAATCATCATCATAATCAAATCAATCGGTCTCCATTGCAGGAGCATGATTCTGATCAATTCAGAGGCGAACAAAGCATTTGGCCTGTCAAAGGGTCTAGACCTCCCCAACCTAACGCTAGCTTGGGGAGGCCTGATATTTCCATGTTTCTCCTTTAGTTGTCTTAAACTAAATTGATGTTCTGGCATCAGCATAGAAAACAGGTTATTAACATTTTCTTTCATCATTCTTTTAAAAGTAACGCTTGTACACTAACATAACAAGCATTTTTCCCGCCCTCGGGTAGTCCAGCACACAGCATATTCCCTGTGAAATATTTTCCATAAGCATCACGGCACTTCGTATCAGCAACCTTCGGGATCAGAACTCTTTGAAGCATCAGATCATTGTGAGCCTGCAACCAATTAAAAATAACTCTTATAGGAAATACTTAATAAATTATAGTCAGAGTTAAAAAGAATGCAGTGATGCATATCCAACTTACCAACGATCTTGCGGGCTCAGTCGACCCCCAGCCTGTGACTTGAACAATGTCACCGTCAGGAACTTCTTCACCCACACCCTTCATTTCCACCGGTGTCAACCAACAACCAACCTTGTCACTCACTTCCACAGGTTTAGAAAGCCATACAATACCAATGTCACTGTCTAATTCTTCATAGTCGAATTTTGGATGCGGGAGAACTTTTGCCACTGGGTACAGTTCACCATCACGGTCAGAAAAGGAGGAACCAGCTCGAATTTGGTAATTGGAAGCGTCAAGACTGAAACAGAACTTTTTTTAATGGAAACTAAAAATTGGACATAAATTGCGACTAAGAATTTTAGATTTAATTTTGTCACTTTCCTGAAAATAAGCATTTGACTAGCTATGCCCGCCACTTCGTACGCGGGAAAATAGTTTGAATGTCACTGTCTATTTTCACCATCAACCCAAAATTATTTTTTCAAATCGGACCAAGTAGTTCCTGAGATAAGCGTGTCCAAGCAAGCAAGTTACAAATTAAAACTTACCTATTAAGACAATGTGCAGCAGTTATTACAATATCCTTGGCGACTAAGGTGCCTCCACAATAGTGCCTTCCCTTCACCTGAAGAGACACTTGGTAAGGTGCTTCGGAGATGTCAATATCTTCGCCTCCAACTATCCCATGGTTATGTCTCAACATGGGAAGAACAGCGACTAGAAATAATAATGTTTGAATTATTTTATCTATACTTATAATAAAATTAAATCTGTAGAGAGAGAGGTCAATTCTGTACATGAAATATATTTTCAAAATAACTATCAGGGGGTGATTAGTGATCGATACTGATGCCAAAAATGCAATCAGTAAAATTTTTGTCTTCTGTCTGTCTGTATGTTCCTTATAGAAACAAAAACTACTCGACGGATTTTAACGAAACTTGGTACAATTATCCTTCATACTCCTGGGCAGGTTATAGTATACTTAGGAATTCCCACGGGAACAGGAATTAGCGGGAAAATCCTTTTGTATGAAAAATCTAAACCGCTTAAGTTAGACGCTTGAAATTTGGCATGCAGGTACCTTAGTAAATTTAAAGCTTAGTTACAACAGGATATTGCGAAATTCCCACGGGAACGGGAGTTAGCGGGAAAAAACATTTGTATGAAAAAATCTAAACCGCGTAAGATAGATGAAGGGGGTAAAACGGGATCTACGCGTACCAAGTCGCGGGCGGCCGCTAGTACCTACTATAAATTTTCTCGTCTCTTGATTATAGCCCGACTGGAACATAAAAACCCTCGCCATGTTGCGGAAAACTAATGGTACTAATTTCTTTTAATGGCAACAGTAACTGAAAACTTCATTGACATGATTGTCACCTTGCATGTCATTATTTTTTTAAACTGTCTATAGCTGTCAAAGTGTAAACAAACTTTATTTTAAATGTAAGCAATTGATTTTGTGAATTAAATTGCTAAAAACTTTTTATAGTCGTGAAAGAAAAGTGGTTCACAATTGTTGTGTTTAAGTACGAGTATCTGTCGAAGAGAAATATTAAGGATCGGACAATATTTTCATTTCGCACCATTGAAGCCATTAGACAGAATAATAATAATATTTTCATTGAATAATGTTTCTGACAAAGGTTGTCAAATTGACTGACATGTTTATCGTATAGTACAGTCCAATAGGAAAATTAACTGTGGTTTGTTTTAACTACCTATTTTAAAGGTTTTTGTCACTTTGTAAGTATTGAATTTTATGGAATTGGGAAAGAAGTACCGAGTTTGAAGCGTTTATGAGCAGACATTTCAGTTGAATATTCAAGTTCTGAATTTGATTATTTATGAATAATGAAATAAATTCTACTAGCTCGATTGATGGTTTCATTTAATTTATTTAAACCAGGTTACCTATATAATATTTTTCCTGAATACTTAGAGTACGATTGTACTCAGTGTTGCACTATCAAATGCAATAGACGAGTCTCTATGCCAGGGTTTTTATGTTCCTGGTCGGGCTATAAACAGCAAAAAA